CTTAACTCTAAGCACAATTATTTTCGCCTAATAGCAGCCAAACCATTTCCTATTGTCAAAAATTTCTGAAATGCACTTCTAAAAAGAACAAACTTGCAACACCTTTGTTTTCGCTTGCCTCTAGTGAGTCTTTGCCAAAATATAGATAAAGAAAACTTAAGTTTTTCAAAAATCGGTAAAAAAAAAAAAAGTGCGATATTTTAATTCAGTTCGTCTGGCGAAGGTGATAAAGTTCAGTCTCATTTAATTTCTACTGCGCTCTTGAAGACATAAAAAGGATACAGATATCTAACAAAACTCTAACAGAGATGAATGGGCTTGACGTTAAAGTAAGGAAAATCAGGAGGAAACTCTCAAAAAATCAAATATTTCAAAGATACAAATTCCCGGGAAAATCACCTCCGCCCTCTGGGGCAGGCAAGGCACCGAACGATAAAACATCAATATTTTGCTACTATTTCAATCATTAAGCGATATTTACCTACACCAGACTGGAAAGGGATATCACCTCACCTGTAAAGTAAGTTATTGATGATTAATATCGTCTTCTAGACGGATATTATAACGAAAATATGTGGCGGAACCATCGGTATGCCACCTCCCAACGACTTTAGCTGAGTTTGAAAGTGCGAGCGGACTACAACTGTGACGTCACGATGTAAACAGTAAACAAGTGACGTTCAAGTTTGGACAAAAAATAATCCAAATGTCTTGTTTCCACTAATTCGGACCCTAGATGAGATAACTATGTTTAGATTATTTACAAGTATTGCCTTGACTCTTGGTACTAAGTATAAACTTGGTAATTAGGACAATGGATGTGTCCATTCATTGATTCTTGCTGATTGAACATACCATCCAATAGGCACTTATGATAGCTTCTGAATTTGATAAAAAAAAATCTGTAATGAAATACATTCGTTTTGATATGTTATATTACAAAAAAATATATATACCTTCCTTTCCCAGACAAATTCCAATCTCGAACGTACTCTTGCCGTACATTTAAGTTTGAATTAAAAACAAGCCATTTAAATCAGGTACACTGCTAAAGCCTGCTGCCGTTGGCGATGGCTGGTGTAATAACAGCCATATTGCTATAACTGATATTAATCAAGATATAGCAGCTAGAATAATAATGACATATTAATAGGATAACGTAAAAATAACAGCAGCAGCAAGTCTGTCCATTCGACCTTCCCGAAAATTCTTAATAAATGAAAACCACTGATCAGTGATGAAAACGAATAAAACGTCTTCCTTCCTTCGAAATTCATATATAAGAATTATTCAAATCGGCGTATCACAATTGGGACGGGATATATAGCATATTTTTTTCTTAGCAAATTCACGTGACTTGTAGCGACAATAGGAAAGGCGAAAATGTCGAGATATTACGCAATTCTGTTCTAATTCCGAACTGAATATGAACGGAGCAAGTTGTAATAAGTAAATGATATGTGGAATCAATAGCTCAAAGCAATATGCATTTTTCAAAAATTAAGTTACAGAAATCCTATAATTTGGGATGTCAAAGCGACAGAAAACGGAAATGGGCAGATAAGGCGAACGCGGGAAATCATGGATGAGTTCTTATACACATTTTCCCTACTGTATTGTTTTGACAAAACGGAAATAAAAACTAATTTGACTGCCTGCAATTACTCTCAAACTAAAGACATTTCAAGAACGCGAGTTTGGATTACTCAAGTTTATATATAGCGAACATTTTCATTCTTTTTTTTACATATATAATACTACGTTTGTTGTTCTACTGTCATTATTATCATTATTGCTGTTGTTTCTTTAATATAATTATCATCACTTTTTCTATTGCTTCATTAATGTCAACATTAGTATCATTATCATCATTATTACCATTATCATTATTATCATTATTATTATCTTTATTATTATTTTCAGAATTAGCATTGTCATTTCTATAGTCATTATCATTATTGTTGTTATTATTATTATCATTACTTTCATTATTATATTATTACTATTATTGTTATTATTATTATAATTTCAAACAAAAAGAGATCGATATATAGAGTTAGTTTGAGAGAGAGAGAGAGAGAGAGAGAGAGAGAGAGAGAGAGAGAGAGAGAGAGAGAGAGAGAGAGAGAGAGAGAGAGAGAGAGAGAGAGAGAGAGACAGACAGAGACAGACAGACAGACAGACAGACAGACAGACAGACAGACAGACAGACAGACAGACAGACAGACAGACAGACACAGACAGAGACAGAGACAGCAGATGCAGAGACAGAGATAGACAGATAGACAGATATATATATATAATATATATATATATATATATAGATATATATAAAGATAGATAGAGAGGAAGATAGAGATAGATAGATAGATAGATATCTAGAGAGAGTAGAGACAAACAAACAAACAGATAAACCGTAAGAGACAGAGTCAGACAGACAGAAACAGATATAGACAAACCAACAAAACAGAAAGAGAGATGCAGGCATGTACGACGTCGCACGCACACACACACACACACACACACACGCACCCGCAGTCAACAGGGATCGATGTCTGTATAGCAACTCAATTCACTCGCCAAATTCCTGTCAACCTAAACGGAGCTGCATTGGTTCCGCTGCAGAGGAGACGCTGTGCAATCCCGCCATGAAGGTTGTGACGTGTGACAAGCTATCTGTGATAAGATATTAGTGTCTATCTGTGTTCTGTTTCTGTGCAGGGTTCTTATTGTCATATTTGTTAGGTTTAGGTTGATTGTCGTTGTATGTTTAGTATTGCTAGAGGTGTGTTTATTTGTTTGGTTGTCCTGCCGGGGATATCTTATCTTTGAAGAGTTTAAAGATTTAATTTAAACTTTTTTTTTTATTTGGCCATCTTTCTGTCTTTATTATTATTATTTTTTTTTTCTTTGGCTAGGCGGGCATTTCCCTGTGTGTGGATTTGTACTTGCTGAATATTAATCATAAGTTTATAACGAACCTATTGTTCAGCAATAATGTTAGTTCATGTCCCTATCACTTTGACCTTTCTCGAGTGACCTTAGGGAATTCATGCGCCCTTAATCTGACCTCTTCCCTGACGAAGCGGCAAAATCCAGAGTTGAATCACTTACAAACATATTTCCTTATCCATTTCTTATCGTGAGCAGTGAGAAGTAATCAAGAATGCAGCTGAAACATGATCCCAGTCCATTTAATTCAAATCCCTCGACAAAAAACTTGAAGTAGAGGAAATGTCCGCCTTATAAAACTTTCTGAAACTTCGAATAGGGAAATGGCGACCTTTTCCTTTTCGCCAGTTTGGTTGGGGGAGAGAGAAGAATTTGTTTAGAAAAATAGTTCCAAACGTTTCTTTGTTTGTTGTTTGGCTGGGGGGGGGGGGGAAATGCTTGCCCACACCAAAGCATGCGAGAGAAAATGCTTGTGTGCCCCCCCCCCCCAAAAAAAAAAAAGTAATATTCATAATAAATAATAATTATAACAAAATTAAAAATTATGAAAAAGTCAGAAGGAAAAAGTCCTTTATGAGAATATGTCTGACTCCATGACCAAAGTAGATGCCACCGAGTTATCAGATCAAATTAATTTTTAACGGTGAAATGTTTACGTCGAAATAACATTAACGTTTGCCTTACGCGTCGAAATAACACTAACGTTTTACCTTAATTAACAACCAAAACTTTTGAAATATTAGAAATGAATTCGAGTAAGAGAAATAACACTAACGTTTAACCTTAACGCCAACTTCCACTCATTCATAAAAGAAAAATCTGCGAATTACGAAAAATTAACAGAGTATCAGATATTGGGAAACTCAGATGATCTCGGTAGAAATATCTCGTCTCTTTTATCTATAACAATCAAACTATCTCCTACGTAGTTAGGGAAATATTAACGGTCCAATAAGTGTTTCCACAGCCAACAGGAATTGTCTCTATTAATCGAAATATTTAAGACTTGATCAGTTGTTTTTTAGTAAATAAATCAAGGAAAGCGAATTGTGTGAAAAAAAAATAACTTTTACGTAGCCATAATAATAGTGGCGAGATGGATGATAACACAACAAGATATAATTATGACAATAATAAAGATGATGATAATAATAACAGTAGTAGTGATAATACTGTAGGCCTAGGGAATACCCTGAAAACATCAGCACTTGTGAATTTCTCTCTTATTCTCTTTCTGGTTATCTTTGGCAATCCTGTGTTCGTTCTGCCGTTAGTTCTTGTTCCTCTCCTATTCTTACTTTCTTCTGTCCTTTTCTCTTTATGTTTCCTTCTAAATACGAGTTTTTAGCTGACCAAAAAGAGGCGTTCTCCTCCCATTCTTACATTTTTCTTTTTTTCTGTGTCTTTTGTTCTTTCTATTCTTTATGTTTCCTTCTAAACACGATTTTTTTGAAGTCTTGACTAATGAAGAGGCGTTCTTCTCCCATTCTTACATTCTTCTTTTTTCTGTCCCTTATTCTTTTCTTTTAATTCTTCGTTCTCCGTTCCTCCTTGTTATCATTTCCCTTTCAATCAATTATGTCTTTTTGTTGTAAGTTCTGCGTTCCGGACATTAACAGACTTTGGAGTAATTTATTTGATGAGAAAAGAATATATAAGAATGGCGACAAATAATAGAATCATGGAACAATCTCCAAAAACATTACAAAATTAACTGCCTCCTTGTTTCTCTCTCTCTCTCCCTCTCTCTCTCCTCTCTCTCTCTCTCTCTCTCTCTCTCTCTCTCTCTCTCTCTCTCTCTCTCTCTCTCTCTCTCTCTCTCTCTCTCTCTCTCTCTCTCTCTCTCTCTCTCTCTCTCTCTCTCTCTCTCTCTCTCTCCTCCCTCCTCCCCTCTCTCTCTCTGTCTCTTTCTCCTCTGTTCTCATCTCGACTCTCTCCCTCCCTCCCTCTCCCTTCTCCCTCTCCCTTCTCTCTCTGTCTCCTACCTCACGTTCTCATTCGCGACTCTCTCCCTCTCTTTCCCCCCCTCCCTCCCCCCCCCCCCCCTC